CTTCCTCCTCCTCCTTTCGCTTCGTTAGAATCGTTTTCAAAGTCTCGGATGCTTTCATCGAACAATGTCCTCTATGGTCCCCTTTTCTGCTCCAAATTCTTTACCTATTCTCCTAGCAAAATTGATACGTTTCGTCGTCCGTTAACAACGGCGATACGCGTAGGCCACGTAGGTAGGCGTCGGTAGTACGGCTCTGTCGAGGCGATCCTTTCTTTTTCTTTTCTCCCGATTCGTTCTCGTCATAATAGAAGAATTTGTTCGTGGCCGCGCGCTTCGGTCCGGTTGAATCGTTCCCGTGAGCGGCACCGGTGGCCGCCACCGGCACGCTGCTGCTGTTGCTGCTGCTGCTGCTGCTGCTGCTGGCCGTCCAGGCTTCGAGCAGGTTCTCAGGAATTCACGACTCATGCGACGACCGGGTGTCCAAGTGAAACGTATAATGGTATTTAACGAAGAGGAATCGTGGTAGCAGGGGCAGCGATGCTTGCTCCAAATTGCTAGGTCAGGCTAATGTCGAAACGACGGGTCGGGTATTGTTCCGACACCCTTCTCCGTCGCGATGGCTCGTGGGAACACGCCTGTTTTTTTCATTCTCCATTATCCCATCGAGCACCCTCACCCACCGATATTTTCTTCCTTTTTCAAAATAACCATTTTCCTTTTTTCACTCGTCGCGTTTTACAAGGAACGCGCGCACCTCCCCCGGCCAGAGGCAATCGCTAGCAAGATCGATTACGATAAAGTCGATCGAATCGACGTCTTCTTGCGACGACGTGTCCGCGCGAATTAACGTTCGAACGCGAGGCGCGCGGGTCAGAGTATGAAAAAGGGAGGCGAGAAAAAAGCGAAAAAGGGGAAATAACGACGGTGAAGGAAGACGAAGGTGGGCTAACAGAGAAGCTCCTCCGCTCGTCTCTCTGAAAACTGGTCTGGTGGAGAGACGCGGTCTTAGGAGCAAAGAAGAGTCGGAGGAGCGGCATTCCCCGGTAATTAGTCTCACCCATAAATTACTAGCTATTCCGTGTCTGTGTTGGTCACAACTCGGTAACGTTCTCTCTCTCTCTCTCTCTCTCTCTCCCTCTCCTCTCTTTCCCGTTCCATTTGCACTCTTTTTTTTTTTTTACATTTTCTCTCGTCTCCTTTCTTTCACTTTGATACTCCCTCACGTTGATACTCCCTGCTAACGTAACCTTCGAAATGAACCAGAGATTAACGGAATAACAGCGTAGTAGAGTAATCGTCGATAGACAAATGTACGTGTCAGGAGGCCTCTATATAGATTCTATGGGAACGAAACGAACTCATCTTTGCCGTAGGTCCAACGCGAGCCTGATCCGAGAGGATCTTTCGGGCCGCCGAAGGGGCACAGGACCCCGCTGCTAAATGAGCTGTAATACGGACCCCTGCTGACCCCTTCCCCCCTCTTTTACTCTCTCACTCTCTCTTTCATCTTCCGTTCCTCCTCTTTTACCACCTCTTCCTCTCCTCTGCTATCGAATCGTCCTCTCTTCTCCTCCTGGTGCCGCTCAAAACTACTCGCTCTTCGGGTAGGATTCGGCGGTCATGATACGGCCACACCGGACGAGTTCCTTTAATCGTCGCTCGAACCTTCTATCCTCGTCGTCCTCTTCCTCGTGGAAATCGCGTGGAACCTCGCGTAATTAGAGTCACCGATGCGCGGGAGACTCCTTCCTCCTCCACCTCTCGACCGGCGAAACGGTTCTCGCCGCTTCTACGAACTAACGGAGAACGGTCGTGACATCGAGACCGATCGCTCGGTCAACGAAGCAGTTGACCCGCGGCTCGAGATACGCGGAGAGCGATCCGTCAATTAGGTCAGCCGTTCTCCGTGTCAGCTACCGGAGGAGGAGGAGGAGGAGGAGGAGAAAGGGAAGAAACGAGAGTTTCGCGGGGCACCTACTACTCCTTGGAGCATTTACATTCCTATGGACCAGGCGAAACAAGTAGCTCGATAGCACCAGCCGGTGTAAAGGTACGACAGAAAACACGCAGGAGCATCGACGTGCTTCGCGAGAAAAGAAGATACGTCCTTTGGGATCCCGGTAAGGGTCTCCGAGCATCCACGGCTTTGCCACGGCGGCGGAGATGAAAAGGATGTAGCGAGCCACACGCCGACAGCTTAAAGCTTAAGTCCTCGAGATAGTTCTCGAGACGGTGTGCCTCCGGCGTGTACCAGGGAGAGACACAAGGTTTCTGGTATCAGCTCGAGATGAAGGACGAAGATGTGTTCGATTATACCGTGATCTCGCAAATCGGGACGCCTTCCTGGGCTCGGATTGCACGGTGTCACGCTCCTTTCCGCTTCCCTTGCCTCGATTTAAACGGCCCGCTCGCCAGATAACGGAGAGAATGTTATTGTAATCGATATTCGTCTTTCGAGGTGGCGCTACCCGAACCAACGGGATTCTCCTTGGAGAAAAGAAGTCTCTGTCTTTGTTGGCTAGACGGGGAAAGGAAAGGTCGTCACAGGGATTTGCCCGGTGGAGCGTGTCGACGAGGTGCTCGTTACCGAGAGAGGGATCCGAGACGAGAAAGGAGCGTGAAAGTTAAGGAAGACGTCGTCGGGGGATGTCGTTTAAGGGTGGTTGTTCCTTTGTTCGGGAGTAGAAGTAGGTTGGTATCGAGGAGTTGTCGATTAGAAAGGCAGCGAAATATCGCGGAATGCTCGGTCCTCCCTCCGTGGATCCCGCGGCGGGCAGGTTGCTCGAAGCAGAGAGGAGCCGAGAGGTTCTATGGAGAGTTAAAAGAGGAAAAGAGGGGCTTGGTTGCGTCTCGTTGCCGCCGAGCGGCGCTCACCTGCCTAGTCCGCAACAGTCTCGTACGGTTCGCTCCGACCAGGAGCCTCGTCGCCCGATCACGGACCAACGATTCTCTTCTCCTCTCCCCTACCATCGGCCGCTTTCCACCTCCGCAACGATACCCGTGCTACACCACGTGAGCTTTTCGACCTTCTTCCTACTCTCCTCCACCCCTTTTCTCCCTCCCTCTCCTCTCCTCTCTTCTTTCTCTCTTCCTTCGCTCACCCCCACCAGTTTTTCCTCCGTCTCCTTTTTTCCACCCTTTCCCGAATTTTCCGCCTTTGTTTTCGAAAAGTACAGAAAAATCCATCGAGGTGTGCAAGGGTGGCGTGTCCGTTCCCCTCGGTGGTGGATCGGTGATTGAAAAAAAGAGGCTGGTATCGCGACGGTGGTGCAGTGAAGGTGGTAATGGTGGTGTCTTGGGGTAAGGAAGAGGCTGCGGTGGCGGCGGAGGAGGAGGAAGAGGAGGAGGAGGCGGAGGAGGAAAAGAAACAGTAGAAGAGGCAAAACTAAAAGAAGAAGAGGAAGAAGAGGAGGAAGAAGCAGATGAAGGTGAATGGTGGGGCTGTCTTCTCTACTCCTTAGTACATTTCTGGTGGGGGTAAGGCAACACTCAAAGTTCGTGGTGACGTAGTTGTGGCAGGAACGCGACGCGTTTTTGTCCCCGCCGGAAGGAAATAGCAGCTTCCTAGATTCTCACCGCGTCTCCTCTTTCGTGGTTTTTGCACGAGAGAAAGAAAGAGGAAGGAGAGGAGAAGAAGAAGTGTGATAGAATCACCGCGGATAAAAGGAGAGCGAGAAACGGAGTGAGGGGCAACGGGGGTGGGGGATATCTAGTTCAAGATACCGGAAGCGGAGGGTTTCCCTTCCGGGTGTATCCACGGAATACTGGACGTGATTCCGAAAGATTACGGTTCGCCAAGTCAAAGCAAACCTGCGGCAAATTTGATTGTTTTTTCATCGTTTCCCAACTGGATCTGGAGGAGGATTTCGCACGGTCAATGTTTGTATCTGTTCGAGTGTTTCAAAGAGGATCTTTCACTTTGATCGGTATACTCGAAGCTGGAGAAGAAAGAAACCGAGGAAGAAGAGGCGAGGGACAGACGGAGGAGAAAGAGGAAGAAGAGGGCTGCAACGACGTCGAGGAGGAAGAAGAAGAAGAAGAAGAAGAAGAAGAAGAAGAAGAAGAAGAAGAAGAAGAAGAAGAAGAAGAAGAAGAAGAAGAAGAAGAAGAAGAAGAAGAAGAAGAAGAAGAAGAAGAAGAAGAAGAAGAAGAAGAAGAAGAAGAAGAAGAAGAAGAAGAAGAAGAAGAAGAAGAAGAAGAAGAAGAAGAAGAAGAAGAAGAAGAAGAAGAAGAAGAAGAAGAAGAAGAAGAAGAAGAAGAAGAAGAAGAAGAAGAAGAAGAAGAAGAAGAAGAAGAAGAAGAAGAAGAAGAAGAAGAAGAAGAAGAAGAAGAAGAAGAAGAAGAAGAAGAAGAAGAAGAAGAAGAAGAAGAAGAAGAAGAAGAAGAAGAAGAAGAAGAAGAAGAAGAAGAAGAAGAAGAAGAAGAAGAAGAAGAAGAAGAAGAAGAAGAAGAAGAAGAAGAAGAAGAAGAAGAAGAAGAAGAAGAAGAAGAAGAAGAAGAAGAAGAAGAAGAAGAAGAAGAAGAAGAAGAAGAAGAAGAAGAAGAAGAAGAAGAAGAAGAAGAAGAAGAAGAAGAAGAAGAAGAAGAAGAAGAAGAAGAAGAAGAAGAAGAAGAAGAAGAAGAAGAAGAAGAAGAAGACGACGAAGAAGAAGAAAACGATCGTGCTTCGGTGAAGTGTTGGCAGAAGCGAAGACCAGATACGAGAAAGTAGTCGAGAGTGGACGGTCGAGGAGATCGGGTGCTCGATAAAGAATTTCTTCCTCGAGATCGAGGAAAAGGATCCGTGGAGGATTTTTCTGAGGAACCGGTGTGATTGGACGCAAACCATTCGATACGTCGCGTAACCTCCTACGATTTTTCCACGGTTTCACGTAGGTCAGGAGTGGTGGTGGCGGCGCATCGAGCGTGGAACGCGATACTCTGACACCGGAGCGACTTCCTTTCGCCCTACCGACTCCTACTGACACTCCTACGATCGTCTTCCGGTATTCAGCGACCTACGAACGGCAGAGGAGCGAAGCAATCGGCAATTGTCGAAGTCACACGGAGGGGCGGAGGGGATGGAGATGCGCCTCGTTCTCGTGGCGATCTGCCTCCTTCTCGTTACCCCCATCGCCGGCTCCTTCTGGTACGTAGCTCATTCCTTGCCAACCGTACCTACTGCTTTTTTCTCTCTCTCTTCCTATTTCTCTTTTTCAACGCGAAACTTTAACCAGCGAGCAAAGTTAAACAAGTAGGTACCTGTTATTCGCGAGTTCCAAGTGATACTTATCGCCTCGAGTGAATCCTTGTTCGCGCGTCTTGCGTAATTACGCTTCGGTTCGCTACGTTACACTTTTATACGTTGGGTAATTACGCGAAAAATAGTTGCTCCCTGCATGCAGCTAAACGTCGGTACTTTCCAAACGTGACGAACGTAACGAGTGCTCCAGTTCCGAGGCACGTCATCTGGGTTATCAATTACGCGGCACGTTACGCGCACGCGGAATGATTAATGACGCCATAAATCCACCTTTGGTAGTTACTTGTGCTCTCGTAAGTAAGACCTGTCCCGAGATTTACGGTTTCATTTCGATTCGGTTAAATTGCTCGTTACCGTTACCGGGAAATATTTCGGCTTCCTCGGGGCTTAATCCGCAGATTGACAGTCCTCGAGACAGTCCCGTCGCTCTCCAAATCCACCTTTTGCTCGCGCCGTCCAGAACGGCGTGGAAACGCCGCGAATTCGTAACTGGCACGTGACGCGTTCCCCGTAACTGCGTTACGTACTCGCGAGGTATCTCGGAGGAACGGTAAATTATTCGGTAGCTCGGCCGTGCGATGTGTACTCGAGTTTATTATGTAAATGTTTGTACGACGATAGACCGTTATCGCTGGCCCTGCCATCCAACGCTGTTCCAGCATCCAAAGACCAGCCATTTCACAAACGCTTCTTTACTCGTTCCCTTCGTTTCATTCCATCTCCACGTCCTCCGTACTTTCGATCACGTTATTACCCACGTCGGAGATCTGTTTCGCGTGAATTTCTCATCGGTCGTCGTCGGTTCCAACGAGAATTGTTCGCCAACTTTGGAACGTAACGCGTCGCGTTGATGAAATTCGAAAGTGTAGTTCCTGTGAAGATGGCGAAAGGTGGTGGTGGTGGTGGTCTCTCCTAAGGTCGAGCAAATATTTGTCAACGATTTAAAGGGGATTTCTGCGCGCAGTCGACACTGTACCGTCGCACCTTGCTCGTTTACCTGTCCGCCGCGTCCACACGGCGGACTGTTTGATAAATACATTAGAAGGTTCGTGGTTTGTTTCGACGACAGGTATTTAACGGGCATTTAAGTAGGTTCGAGGAATGCTCGGAAGATTTCGACGAGGTTTTTACGCGAAGAAACCGCGAAGGAGGTTTATCGTTCTCCGGATCCTGCGAATTCGATCGGAACCGGATTCCCCGATTCTGTCGCGCAGAATACCGTCTCTCTGTTCCTCTCCGCGTTTCACGGTAGCGCGGAGACAGAGCTGGTCCCAGCTGAGAGGACAAAGACGACCGAGTGGAAGAGTAAGGAGGTAAAGAAGCGAGCGAGCGAGGATGGACAATGGTCTCGCTCGAAGCGTCACCCGTAAATCTCGTTGAACGCGTATAATTTGTAAGTCGGCAGCAGCCCCGTTTCGCCTCTTCCCTCTCTGCCTCCTCTTCTCGCGTGCGCTCGCGTGATCCCTCTTCGTCTCTGCTCGCCCGGACCGCGAACCGTCTCTCGAAACAGAAAAATCGAGAGCAAAACCGAGGAGGACGTTGGTATATTCCAATGCATTCTTCCCTTTCACCGTGCCCATTAAACTTCGCGATCGTCTATCTCGTTTGCATTTCTCGTTGGACGGTTCATTTTCGAAGCGAATACTGCGCTAATTGATTCACGCGACCTAGACTAAATACTGGTACCAATAGTAAGGCTAATTATGTCCCTGTGCCTGTTCCTTCCTCTTTCTAATTCCCGTGTCGAAGTCACAGGTGGAAAAGGTGTCGGTATCGTAACGAGCAGTTGCCGATAATACGATAGCGTTCGGTCGGGTCGCAAAGTCGGCCAATGAGCCGCGGTGGGCAGTCCACAGCTACCTTCTCGCTGGTTGGACAACCCGATACTCCCACCCGATGCACTCTATCTCACCTGTCCTCTCTCTTTCTTTCCCGCGGCCGTGCTATAATCATAATCATAAGACCGCTCGGAGACCGTGTGACGCGAGGTCACGTCGTTCCGCTTTGATCGCGACGGCGTCGGCGTCGGCGTCGGCGGCGGCCGAATCTGGTGACTGGAACGTTGCACAAGCTCCGGCAACCTGCCGAATTGCTCGATCGTTCGCTTCCTTCCTACCGCTCTAACTACGCCTCTGTCGTAAAACCGCGGCCCAGAGTGGATGTTTGCTTCCGATACCGGCCGTATTTCGGTCAGCCTCCGCTCGTAATGTTTATTTTCGTCGCGAACGTTCCTCGAAGTTTCGCCGAGGATTAGTACCCTCTTGCGCTGGTTTGTCTATTTGCGGCCGTAAAAGCTCGACCTTTTCGTTTGAGGAGGGATGCACGGTACGCGTTCTTTGCCAACGTAAACATGGAAAACTAGTTCCCTTTTCGCCACCACCCTGTGCTGGCTTCCGTTTCACCCCACCACTCCGATCTCTTCACCGTTTCACGTTTCACCGAGCATCCTGTACCGAGGATACGCGATCTTCTTATCCGGGGTCAGTTTCGATTCACCGTTCGTCGCCGTAGCGATAAATTTAGGCCTCAACCCCTCCAGTCACGAGCGCACTCGATCATCCTCGTCCGCGACATCCCGATCCCCCGACTCGCAGGACAGAAATAATTTTGTCCGACCCTGATTTACCGCCTAACGAACAACATTACCGAGATTCTGCTACGCGAGACTCCGAAACATTCGCGCTCAAAAGGAATACCACGTCGTTCGTCTGGCCTTCGCTATTAGATATCAGAGGTGGCACGTTTATACCACGTAACGACACGAACATCGTACAAGTGTCACGCCCGTTGATACAAATTATTTAGCGAGTGGCCGCTGGGACCGTTGCCATAATCGCAGAGTACACTCTTCGGTTGATCCGTAATTACCCCACTTTCCAACAGTTTATTCTGACAATTCTCTTAAGCACGCGCGCGCGGTAGAAGCACTAATTCTTCCGCAGTTCTCGTTCGCGACAGTTTTACTCTTCCACCGTAATACGTCCGAATCGAGGAGAATCGGATTGCTCGAGGCGCGAAAGGTGGCGACACGGTAAAGAAATGCTCGATTTGTCACGAGTTAAGCTATGCGAATCACGGTCGAGTCACAATATGCCGGGTGGGTAGAATAAGAGCGGTGCACCTTTCTCCTTTGGTCGAAGAACGCGGGGAGGCAGTAGCCGGGATGATTGGAATTATCGAAGATTTATCGGAGATTGCGGCGACTCGAAGCATTTCATTTAGCATTTGGCTAATGGCGAGCGCGCGTTCAGACGACGTAACGAGCGATTAGGTGAAACGCACGGCGACTCCTCCGAACAGGGTAATGTCGCGAGACGGCGATAAAAGTTATAGTGACAAGCCGGTCTCGAGGTAGTTGACGCGGTTGGAACGTGTGTCCCGTACAAGCGAATCGATTTTCGTGGAATGTCAGGACGGGGGCGTAGCCGCGTTTCCCGACGCTAGACGTTCCCAGCGAAGAATTTCAAATTGTTTGGACGGCGCGTGCACCACGCGGCTGCTATGTACGGAATTTTAAGACCCCCGCGTTTATCTAAGCTTACTCTAATTTTATTAGCCCCTTCCGATTCGATCGGGTTTCATTAAGCCGCGTGCCTCGAATAATTCGTTAAGCGCGAGTACGCTTTTGCCGATTACGGAGACGCGGAAATAGAGGCGTTACGATCCAACTCCGCGGTTTTCTTTCTCCTCTTTGGCCGATCGAGCGAGCCTCGAGGGCCGCGCCACGAATTCCACCGGAGTTCTTGGGAAACGATGCACGAAACGCGCAACCTAGACTCGCTTTTGCGCTAACCCTTGCCCCCCACCAATTTGTTCGGGCATTCTCCAGCCCGGTTAAATTCACCTTCTTACTCTCTCTTTTCCCTTCTTCTCTATCTGTTCATTTTCGGATCTGATTACAAAGCACGCAGACGGCGGCCAGACGAACGGTGTGGAATTTGATTAATTCGAAATTCGAAGGATAAATAAGAGAGAATGCTATTCGGATGCGTGTTGGGTTAAGCTCTCGTTGCTCCTCGCCCCCTTCGTATTCCTCGGTCGCCTCGTGTCTCGTGGCTTGCAACAAGAGGATGATTTAGATTAAGTGCGCATATATAGCCGGCACGAGCTGTTGTGACTTTCCACTTCCGTTCGCTACACTTTTTATCTACCTCCTCTCCCCGTTTCTTTTTCCCTTTCTTTCGCTGTACATCGGCTCTACATCGTTCCGCTACCAGGCCGTCGCGTCCGACACATTTCTCCGGTGGTCTCTCACCGTGGAAAACGAGAGGAATAGAAAGGAAGAAGCAATGAATCTCGCGGTCGATCGGATCTACCGTAGCCTCGATGTCCTTGGAGGCCAGGTTCCCAACTTCCGTCGTGTTTTCTTCCTATCCTCGAGGGTCTCGTTCGGACGGTGCGAGATATTCGAAGAATTCACCGGTGGACCCAGCGACCGTTCTTCTTCTCTTCGTTCTCCTCCTCCTCCTCCTCCTCCTTCTCCTTCTTCTTCTTGGACTCCTTTCGGCAGCCGGTGGACGGGGTCCGTTCTCTTTTTCTGCTGCTCTCTATCAAGAGTCCTCCTCTTCTCTTCGCTCCCTCTCTCTCTCACACACACACACACACACACACACACACACACACACTCTCTCTCTGTTTCTCCCATTCTATCTGTGTCTCGATTCGAGCGTGTACAAACCGACGAGGCAAGAGGTAGGAGCAACGTTGCTCTCTCGTCACTGTCTATCCGAGCAGACAGCGTGGAGCTGCCTTCGAGCAAAGTGAGTGCGTCTAATGAGGCAATAAATAAGTCGACCGCCCTAACCGGCCTCTCCACGCTTTTCGTTCGCGACGACGTGTCCATCCTCGAGTTCTTTTCTTGCCTCTGCGTACGCGAGGGCAACCCCTTCTTCGCTCTAGCCCCGGTACCCAGCCCTTCGTTCTCTACCTCCACCTCCAATCTCCGTCTATTATTCACCGCTGATTCTACATCTCTCCTATTTCTCTCTCGCCGAGCCCCAAATCTGGTCCATTCGCGAGAATATGTTACTCGGAAACGCTCGGTTCTTGACCACTCCAATTCCTTTAAACTGACCTCGAGCTAGGCGATATTAATAGCCGGCCACCAGCGAAACCAACCGATACGCGATCGTCGAACGGCGCGACGTGTTTGCACTAATAACGTCGTAACGTTTTTCGCGCAATGCCCAACCAGACGTATCGACAGACCACGATCGTTCCCGTTTATTTGACTTGGGAGGTTAGCTGCGCGCGGTCGTTAACGGAACCAGCGCAAATATTCTTTGCCTGTGATCCTTTGAACTGTAAGGTCAGGATAGTGTCACGCAGCGGGGATTCGTTTCTCTCTTTCCTTTCCCGTCTCCTGTCCATCCCGTTTATGAGCTGCTACCTCGATGTCTCTAATCGCGGAAAATTTCCGATCTTGCTGCAATATTTCCCCCCGCCCAAGAGCATTTGCACTCTAACGAAAAGAAAAAAAGTCGCATTCCTTTCGAACGAAGAGATATGCGTTCCTTCAGAGATGCTCGCTATTTTTAGAAACTCGCGTAAGAGTTGGTTCCTCGTTTGTCAGCACAGCGATAAGACGTTTGACGAGGCTCGGTGTCATAACTTTCGACTTCTCGGAAAGTCCGCCGTTTATATATCTATGCCGGCTGTCCATTATCCGATGCGTAGGAACGAGCAGCGCGAGCCTTTGTCGCATTCCCATTCGCTTGCCGGGAAATTGCTGGGCGAAAAACGATTCCAGGAAATATCCTCGTCGAGAAGGCGAACCAGACGAAACCGGTGGTTACCCCAGATTTATTCTAAAATCAGCGACGTACGTGGAATACCTTGGACGATTCTGGCAAACGGTTTTCCCTCGAGTAGGTAATATATCCGGTTCCGGGCTGGCGAGAGAGTGGAAGGTACGTTCCGTTATGGAGTATATCGAGTGGTACGGGTCGAGAGAGTAAGAATATCGAGCGGACGAATGAAGTTCTTGCTTGCTCTTCTCTGCCAGCGGATCCGTGATCGTCCCGCGAGACATTACATGCGCCATATTTTGCTCGGGAACGAGAGCAACGTTTATCTTTTTTTCTCGGATCGCAACCGGCTCTCTCTCCGCCGGCTCCGAGCATCTCGATCCTCTACTCTTCGCGAGTTTCTTGAGAATTCTTGTCCGCGTATCCGACGTTCTTGTCCGCGCTGTTATAGTCGCCGTCCGAGGCAGGAATCCTCGCCCAAATGACGATGTCACCGGTGCACGACTATCCGGTGAGCTTCGTATTACCTTCGCGAGAATCTCTTCTTTCTTTCTTCTTCTTCTACTTCTACTTCGTCTTCTCTTGCTTCTTCTTCTTCTTCTTCTTTCGTCGGGTTCGTGCGGAACGAAAAGCAGAAGCATCGGCAGGCCGAGCACAACGAAGCGTACACGGGCGCGAGCAACCGTCCTTAACGGAATTATTGCCATTAAGGTCGTTGCATTCCCGAGAGGCCGTCGTGTACGCGCCCCGGCATCCTACCGACGCAGAACTAATGATCTTAATTAACGTTTCGTAACGAAGGTCGCTCGGACT